GATAAATACAAATTGGGTTTAGTGCCTATATATGAGACTGTGTTGAGGTCCAAAAAAAAAATACATCTATAGATCTTCGCACTTTAGATATAGTTGATGATTTAGAGCTATTCAATGCATATCCATGGGGAACTATAAGTTTCAAATTTACGGTACATGCATTCCTTAGAGTGTCGAAGGATCCAAAACCCAAATACTCATTGTGGGGAATTCCACTAGCGATACAGGTAAATGGTCAAAACTTGTGATTTAGACATTGTTTTTATTTGATTTTAAATATTTGTAAATAACTTATACATCTTCTTTTAGGTTTGGGCGTTCGAGTTTATTCCTCGAATAGCAAACATGTATCATGCTAAGTTACCTATCAACGGGCTGCCGAGAATGTGTCGTTGGAAATCAACACTTACTCCTAATTCTCATGATATTGCTGAAGTCTTGGATGACCTACAAGTGAGTATATATTCTATATTGTAATTACTTTTGAACATTACCTCAAGTACTGCTAAAAAGATTTTGTTTGTCAATTATTCAGCTCCAAGTTCATTGCTCATTGACAGCTTCTCTCGATGAGACTGAACAACAATATGTGAAATTATTCGTTCACGGAACTAGAAGAGAAGATCCAATATTAGATGTTTATCTCTACGAGGATGGAGACTACCCAGATGTTGGTGATGCAGAACTAGATGATGATTTAGATCCACCGCAAAGACAAAGGGAGAGAGTCTCTCCGAATTTACTTGAAGAAGATGTATGCATATTTTTAACCTTAATTTATAATCTTTCGATACGACGAATTGGTGCTAACTATATGTTCTCTTATTTCTTTAGGTACAAAGTTCAGGGACTGCTCGTGTACATCAACGTTCTCTTCCTACAAATCGAAGACCTCCACGAGTAGCAACAATCAGCGTACCTTTATATTTCTCAGTCAAAAATGTTCCATCAACGACAACTACCTTTCGCATTGAAGAATGAAATCCATGAATGCAAGGTCCGAGTGCCATAAAAAAGTACTTGAAGCAATTCTCATCGTCAATCTCTAAAGACAATGCTGTTCCATGATTAGTTCGAGCCAAGTTATGAGAATATAAGCCCAATTTAGCATAACTATCCTCCGGGGAACCTCTCAAAGTTTCCAAAGCACATTCTCGTGACTTTTGCGCCCTCTGATAACTCATGTCTACCCCGAATTCCCGACGCATGTCATTAATAATATCTGCAGCTCTATATACCGTGTTAGGATTTTGAAACTTAGGCATTATATGTTTTCCAACAACCCACGATCTTGCCTGTCTATGATCATTTCGACAAATACTCACAGAGCAAGTATGATCACGTGCATACTTGCGAATTTGAAAGTAATCACAATTTCTTAATTTAGTTGCTCATAAACGCCATTTGCAATTTTCATCAATGCAAACAATTGTATAGACTTCTTTATTTGATTTCTTCACTTTAAATTCAAAGTTATACTTCATCGCAAGCATATACACTTTCATCATAAGATCTTTTTTGTGTTGAAAATTTGGGGATCTTCTAAATCCACATCTTCGAGAATCACATGTGATGTAAGAGTTGAAGCTACAAGGTGCTCGTTTGTAAAACGATCTTCTTCTCTGTTGTTTTGAAGCATCTCGGTTCCATCTGTAGCGAAAACAATGGTGTTACCATTTTCAGTGATAATATCTACATTATTGTCTTGAGCTATCTCCAACTCATCCCAATCAATATTCTCAGTTCGATCCACTTCATTGTCATCAGTTGCTTGCATTTCACTGTGAATATTGTCACCTTCATTTTGCATTTCACAATAAAATTCATCATCTTCCACTTCATGAAATAAATCATTATCTTCTTCTTCTTGTAGATGTTCAACTAAATGTTTGTTCACAAGTGTTACACAAATGGGACAATGATTTTTTTTGTTGAGAGATAGCAACCACTGTACTTACCTGTCCGAAATAATTTTAATTCGAACCATAAACTGTCCATTTCCGGGGAGAAGAAATCTCATCTCAATTTCATGCGCAGATGAATCAACTCTGCAAAGATTTAGCAATTCACAATACAAATCATGATATGAAGTATCTGAAGATATTGGAACTCCTTCCACCATTTCATCATTCCCACTTTGTTTCCATATCCATTTTCCTTGATCATCAATAACAAAGTCACCAAAATTAAATATAGAAATCCATGTTGTTGAGTCCATATCTGTAATTAGAATAATAAAATTTTAGAATGTTAGCATTTATCAATCACGGTAATATAAAGTGACAGTTGCCGTTTCTATGGTCGTTTTAAACGACTTCACAGTCGTTTAAAACATCTGTAATGAATCCATAGCTAAAAATTATACGAGATTATGCTTTTCAAAACTACTTGAAACAAAAAAAAAAAAAAAACGTTCAAACACTTAAATAAACACAAATGACAATGAATATATGATGAATAAATAAAAAAAATACTAGATTAAAA